CATCCTAGAATCAGTTATTAAATATTTTTTAAACCTCCCCTGGCTAAGATTCTGTACACTCACAAAAAAGAGAACTTATTTTGTAATGAGATAAGAGATACAGGGATAAAGAGAGAGACAAATGACTTAGTAAGTAAAAAAAGGAGAACTTGCTATAATGAATATAAGAAATAACAATGAGGCAAATTTATATTTGTATAAATAAGAGTTTCTAAGAAGCCACAGAGTCTGTAAATATTTGATAAATTAGTGAATGAGAGATTTGACAAATATTGTCAGTTGCCTACTCAACAACCTTTTCTCCTCTTTCCTGCTTTAAAGAAAACTGCAATTTTGTTCACACTCCTCCACAACCAAGTGCTTTGGGGAAGGTTGGGTCTGAAGGTAGTGTAGGTGGTGTGGGTGTGAATCTAGATTGCCCAAGCCAGGCATGGCGGCCCATTCCTCTTGCCAAGTGCTGGATTTAGGCATGAGCTGGTGATGTAGTTCTGGCCAATGAGGTGGAAGAGATGTCAGCTGAGAAGATTCTGGCAAGACTTTCTTTTCCCATACAAAGGGACCATGACAGGAATGTCCCCTTTATTTCCTTTAAAGATATCTTGCTTAAAACTAAGGCAAATATTTGCATTCTCAAAGGGAAAGCTAAGAGAATTTCAGAGAACACAAATCTTAGCCATGACATTTGAGCCACTAAATTAATCGATCCTGGAGCTGCTCTGCAGCTAGCTTTCTTGTTCTTGTTCAAGCCACTTTAGTTGGATTTGCTGTATTTGCAGAGTCCCACTAGAATGTAAGCTATTTGCTCACTACTATATCCTTATTGTCTATAACACTGCCTAGTACATAGTAGATCCACCATCAATATTTGTTGAAGGGTTAAATGAATAAAAAGCATCCTCATTGGTGTAGGAGGATAAGTTTTTTGATGGTCTTGGTGTTAGATTTTTCTGTTTAAATTTTTTTTTTAAACATCCATTCAAAGCAACGAATGTTGTTGACTGTCTATCGTCTCCAGGGCATTAGTGTTATGGGAAGTGGCAAACAGACCTGGATTTGAATCTGGATCTGCTACTTACCAGTCAAGTGCCCTTAAGCAAATTACTTATCTTCACTGAGCACACCTGTAAAATGAGCACAACACCCACTAAATTATAGGGTTGTTGTGAGGCTTAGATGAGACGCAGCCACAGAGCCAGGCACATGGGGAGGGGTTCAACTGGTATTTGTTCCTCACTTCCCTGCATCTCCACATCCTTGGGTACTAGGACACCAGGATGAATCAGACTGAGTCCCACCTTGATCTTGAGAAGGGCCTCATGGGCCAAGGGAGGAGTCAGACATGTCAACAAATCAACCAAGTGACCAATGTTAACATCACCAGAAATGGGGCAAAGTGACATCATATGCCTCCGATAGGACATGCCGAGATGAACACAGCACCACCTCTGGGATACTCTGGCCAAATCTGTACAACATGAACCCATCATGAGGAAACATCAGACAAACCTAAAGTGAGGTACCTGCTACGAAATAACTGGCCTAGACACTTTAAAAATGTCAGTTGTCATCAAAGACAAAAAAAAAAGACCAAGAAACTGCTCTAGATTAAAGGATCCTAAAGAGACATGACAACTTAATGCAATGCACGACCTGGGACTTTTTTTTTGCTATGAAGGGCTTTATTGGGATAACTTGGGAAATCTGAATAAGGTCTGTATATTAGATAATAATTAGTATCAAAGTTAATTTCCAAATTTTGATAATTGTTCTGTAATTACATAAGAGAATGTCCTCAGTTTTAGAAAACATACATGTTGAAGGAGTATAGAGGTATAATATAACATCTGCAAATAACTCAAACAGTTCAGAAAAAAAAATTATACATCCGGATAGGGAGAATATTAAGGCAAATGTGGCAGAACATTAATATTTAGGGAATCTGGGTGAAAGATGCACAAGAATTCTTTGTGCTATTCTTCCAACTTCCATTTAAGTCTGAAATTATGATAAAAAAAACATTTTTAAAAACATTTGAAAGCAACACTAGAGCCAAGTCTTGAAGGAGACTAGGAATTTGTGTGTTGGAAAAGGAGGAAAAGGGAATTCCAGGCTGAGTAAAGACTTAGGAAAGTATTCAGGAAGCCACTGGGCGCTGGGGGGCCCATTTTACAGAAAGCTGCATTTCACCAGGGTCTGGAAAGAGGTGTCAGAGTCCTCCAGACAGACCATAGGAGGAAGGGCCTTTCGGTCAGTGGCTGGGAAATATGAAAGAGCAGGGCACTAGCGGGTAGGAGTTAGGTGTGGCCAAGGCACTGACGGTGGACAGTATAGCTGGACATGTAGGTTGGGGCCAAATTGCAAAGGACCTCAAATGCCCTGCCAAGGCGTTGGGACTTTATGCTGTAGGCAGGGAGTGGGCAGTGAAGGATAAGATGTAAGTTGTAGACAGTGGGGAGGATGACTGGAGAAGAGCAGGATAGGAGCCAGGGAGGCCCACAGGTGATTGCTGGGCATCTAGGGGTAAGAGAAGATCCTGAGGGCTTGAATTAATTCCTTTTGGCCAGAACTATAAGGGCAACATTTGCATTTACGTCCCCATGAGGCGCACTGGTATTGCATTTTGGTGCTCTGATTCCAGTTTGCTCTGCACTGCAGAGGCCACAGGACAGCTGACTCACCAGCGAGGGCAAGCCCCGAGCAGGCTTAGCGGGTGGAGCAGAAGCAGACATGTACAGTCAGGGACTGAGGGCCACTAGCCATCTCATTGTAAAAGGCCTTTGCTAAATTCCGAAAACCTCCTCCATTCCCTGTTCCGGCCACCTTGGTCTCTTACAGTCCCCTAAGTGCTGATTTCCTAAGGTTTCAATAGGTTACCCACATGGGTACTGTGTCCTGTCCTGCCTCATTTCCACTCGAAGACGCTAAAGGTCTGGTCACAAATTGGGTTCCTTTTATTGCAGAACAGTTAGGCATTTTCAAATCAAATTGAGCCAATCCATTCATTCAACACTCAACAAATATTTGCCCAGTGCTACTGTGTGCTTAAGGGACTTATCGAAAAGGAAAAAGGAAAGTGGGGAGGACGGGAAACGTCTGGATTATATTATAGTGAGAGTGGTTTTCCTCCTTGGGGTTTCACTTGGTATATCCAAATTAGATAGGGATTTGCTTCTCATCATGTTTGAAAGGAATCGTCTTTAATTTGTTCCTAGATTAATGAGGATGTAGCCAGGTGACAAGTGGCATGAAGTAGCATTTGGAACAGCACATTAAACACTCGTAGAGCAAGATGATCCCTGTGTGGCCCGATGAGTTTCCTTTCATGCATCTATAGTTCTTACTCGCTGGGGGCTTCCTTGTAGTCATGGTGATGGTGATGGGGACCTACTCTGTGCCAGGCGCTCTGCTGAATGCCTTCCATACGTTCTCTCTAAACCTACCACCTAATCCTGCAAGGCAGATGTTTTACACTTGAAGAACTCAGGGTTCAGAGAGGTTGATGGATTTGTCCAAGGTCACACTGCCACTTAGGGGCAGAGCCAGGATCTGAACTCAGATCTTGTCTCTAAAGATTATGACCATTGCACTTCCATGCCATCTCCCACCACTTCAAAACGGGAAGGAAATTTCAGGTAAATGAAGAAAACCGTCTGCTAGATCAGTGGTTCTCAAACTTCAGTGTGGATCAAAATCAGGGGAGGGCTTATTAGAGTACAGACAGCTGGGTCCTACTCCCTGAGTTCCTGATTCTAACAAACCCAGAGCTCAGAGGATTCCTGGCTGAGCCCTTTGTTCCCGGCTGTGTACAGACTCATCGACTCTCAGGTCTCTGCCCTCCCTCTGAGCCCCAGGGTCAATCCCAGGCCTCCCTGGGCTTTCACTCACTCGCTGCTTCTCTGTGGGCTGAACCTGCTTTCATTACTATGTCAAGTGTGGTTTGCGAACTCTGACCGCCTATAACACCCTCCCCTGATCTTTGGGACTTTAGACTGGGAGTTAGAAATCTGTTCCAGGGTAACGTGGGACACAGCATTGTCTCCATTGCCTGAGATCCTTGTCCCTCCGGGAAGATAAGCTTTCTAGCAGCTTGGTCACCTTCCCAAGTTATAGTTTAACACGGTAACATGTGTTCCAAAGGTTCCTGTACTTTTAGACTTGGAAGCGTTCTTAGCAGAAAAGAGGAAAGGAAGGAAACTATTATTTACTGAGAATCTGCCATGTGTCATAGATTTTACTCTTCACAGTGACCCCATGAGTTAGAGAGAGAGAGAGAGTGTGTGTGTGTGTGTGTGTGTGTTAATCCCCATGTACAGATGAGAAAACTGAGATTCTGAGAAGTTCAGCACCTGTCATGGTCACACAGCCAGCAAGTAGCTGAGCCAGGATCTGACCCCAGGTCTGCCCATGCTCTTTCCACTATCACTGGCCCATCAGTTCACAACATCAATGTTCTCTCTAACTTGGACATAAATTTATTGAGTTTGGGCCACGCATGAGGCCCAAAGGCTGGCTTAATAAGATAAAATCTGGGTCAGTCATGCAGTGGTCAGTGCTGGGGAAGCGATGACAGGTCCAGTTTGATAAGCTGCCAGGGGGGTCGTAGGAGGGGCTGAGGAAAGAAGCCAGGGTCAAGTGCTAGGTGAGCAGGCGGGAGGTGCCAGGGGTCTCGAAGAGTTGGCAGCAAGAGTTACTGTGAGCAGACAAAAGCAAACAGGATTGCAGGCATCTCAGAGGAAGATGCAGCAGCCAGCCAAGGGCCTCAACTCAGGCAAAGCTGACCACTGTGCTGCTCTACAGAGCCAGGTGCCGCCTTGCTGGCCGGGCTGTGGGCCTGTGTAAAGGCAGCTCCCCTGCCCAGCATGACTGTCCAGTGCCTACTTTTGTGCCCAGCATTGTGTGAGGTATTGAGGCTACATTTCTTTTAAAATAAAGCATCCTTGTCATCAAAGAGTTCACAGGCACTTTTAGCTTTAGCTGGGGCGGTGGGGGCGGGTAGGCTTGAGACAGACTCTCAGCTTCTTCCATTCCAATCTGAAAAGCCCTAACTTTGTTACATCTGTCTTCCTGCAACAGTTCCCTCCAGAAGAGCCAGAGTATCTCAAGTCCTGGCAAGTGAGCATCTCAGGGGCTGGTGAGTGTGCTTTCAGCTGACAAGGGCTGGATTAAGAAGATCTATTTTTTCTCTCTGCCATCCATTTTTCCTCAATGACTATTTTCCTAGAGTCCATCATGTAATGATTGTGACAGACCAGGGACAAATGAGGGAGGAGCCATAAACCATGGGCGTCATCTGTCCTCGTTTGAGTCAGTGAAAGAAAATGTTAGCCTGGAATCAATGAAAAATTGAGCATGACGCCAGAGGGGGAGGAGATTTAAATGTGTCTCTTAACTAGTGGCAAGTGAGAAAGCAAGTTATGGATCTGAATTCAGCAGAATGGCTTCACCCTGAGCAGCTGGAAGACCAGGAGCTGGGAGGACACAGGAAAGGACTCTCAGAAGGAAGCATAGACATTAGCTGGGTAGTAGGGGAGGGGATGGGGGGAGCCCTCAGGCTGCCTGAGTGGTCACCCAGCTGAGCGAGCACTGAGAGGAGCTTTGGAATGGGAGGACAACCAGTCACCTCAAACAGATGCGACTGCCCCTCTGGGGTCCTCCATGGTGGGGCCGGGCTGAATGCTGCCCAAGAAAACCTTGTACAGCACCCACATTGAGACTGCCTCTTCAGTGGACCCCTGACTAAAGCCAGTGGAGAACCTGGCCCTCTTGCTCCCCAGCAGCACTCAGACGCTGTGGCCAGGAGCCAGAGGGTGATGACTCAGGCAAGGGAAGCCCCAGGAAAGTTACTGTGAATTAGTTATACAACCTCCCACTGTCATCACCAGGCCCTCATTAGTTTCCTTTCAACCCCACCCCTTCCTCACCTGGACCCTGTGCAGCCAGGCGCAGGCCCACTCTGTGCAGAAGCAGCAGGACTAGAAGGAGGTAGGATATTGAAATCATAAGCTGCACAGGGACTGAGATTTTAATAACCAGATTGAACCCCAAGCCTGGAAAACCTTAAAGGGGCCAAATAAGTTGCTTGCTCTAAGCCTATGGAGGGAGGGATCCAGGCCAAGAAGGGTTAATGCAATTATGGGAAGAAAGCTAGTTTCATGTTTGCCCACACAAGGGTGACTGTAAAAACAAAACCACCAGACTCAATCCTCACAAGGGCCCTTGAGGTTATTTTGTTTTTGTTTTTAATTAAGGTGAAATTCACATAACATAGAATTAACTATTATAATGTGTACAATTCAGCAGCGTATAGTACATTCACAATGTTGTGCAACCACCACCTTTTAGCAAGATGAAACCATTTTCATCACCCCTTGGGGTTGTTTTTACGCCCTTGTTACGGATGAGATATTGAAGCTCAGGAAAGTGAAGTGACTTCAAGTTCATTGATGGCAGAGGTCAGACTTGAACCCAGATCCTCTAACTTCCCTGGAAGGAGGGAACATTTGTCTTTTTATCTTTTTTTTAATTTTTAATTTTTTTATTTTTGTGTGAGGAAGATCAGCCCTGACCTAACATCCATGCCAATCCTCCTCTTTTTGCTGGGGAAGACTGGCCCTGGGCTAACATCTGTGCCCATCTTCCTCCACTTTATATGGGACGCCGCCACAGCATGGCCTGACAAGCGGTGCATCGGTGCGCGCCTGGGATCCAACCCGGGGCCGCCAGTGGCGGAGCGCTCGCACTTAACCGCTATGCCACAGCACCGGCCCCTTGTCTTCAGACTGGTAACAGCCTGTGAACTGACTTGCTGTCCTCTTGTCTCCCCTCACCCAGTTGTCTTACACAAATTAGCAAATTCATCTCCTACAGCAAGGCTCTGACATAATCATTCCCTTGGTCAGCCTCCCAATGGGTACACATTAGCATCCAAATAAAGTCGGAGCTCCTTTACTGTAACCTTTATGTTGATGTAATCACCAAGCAACTTGTTTCTCTCCAGCATGTACAGGAAATGCTCAAGCATCCTTGGCCAGCCACCCTGGGACTGGAGGCTGATCCCAGCACAGCCTGTCTCCTCTATCATGTCCATCAGCTGCCAGCCAGCCTGCATTTGCCCTTTAGATTTCTTAGGCAGGATCTGACACCAAGGCTGGCTCCTAAAACTGTAAGAAACACGTATCAAGGTTGCCATTGGAGCCTCTCTCACTTGACTTGAGGGGAAGGACAGGAACCCCCATCTCTCCACCTTGGTTGGCCAAATTATTCTAAGGTCAAATAATGGATGCAATGCAAATGTTAAATATGTTGGTGCCAATATATATGTGTTAGCTGAAAAGATGTTCATGGTATATTGTGTGATGCCAAAGGTGAAATTCTATATATACAGTCACTCATCGCTTAATAACAGGAATACATTCTGAGAAATGCGTCGTTAGCAGTTTCCTTGTTGAGTGAACATCATAGAGTGTATTTCACAAACCTAGATGGTATAGCCTACTACACACCTAGGCTATATGGTACTAATCTTGTGGGACCACCATCATATATGTGGTCCATCGTTGACCGAAATATCATTCTGTGGCGCATGACTGTAGTATAACTCTGTTTCAGAAAAATATGTATCTATAGAGAGAGAGAGCACATATATGTCTTGAACTCATGCATATATTTGCATAAGAAACAAGTTTGAAAAGATATATTCCAAAATGTTAATAATGATTCTCTCTGGAGAACCCAGAAAGATTTTAATTTTTTCCTTCTGCTTATTTTCATATTTGCTAAATTTTTTTCTATAAAAACACGGCCTGGGGCCAGCTCCGTGGCTTAGCGGTTAAGTGCACGCGCTCCGCTACTGGCGACCCGGGTTTGGATCCCAGGCTTGCACTGACGCACCGCTTCTCCGGCCATGCTGAGGCCGTGTCTCACATACAGCAACTAGAAGGATGTGCAACTATGACAGATAACTATCTACTGGGGCTTTGGGGGAAAAAAAAGGAGGAGGATTGGCAATAGATGTTAGCTCAGAGCCGGTCTTCCTCAGCAAAAAGAGGAGGATTAGCATGGATGTTAGCTCAGGGCTGATCTTCCTCACACACACAAAAAAACACGGCCTGTATAAGGAAAAGAATACAGAAGGGGAAAAGAATTCCTGTAGGGCTTTGTTTACCCCCCTCAACATGGCTTATATCACAACTAATTGTGTATATGCATCTGCTCTCCCCTCACCTTGGGGACAGGATCTCATCTCATTCATCCTGTCTTCTCCATGACATCGCCATGACACACTCAAGAATTAATTGGCTAGTTAATGAGTGGACTCAGGCTCTCCTCTCTCTAACCCCTCCTGAGTGATAGACTGCTATAAGTCTCTGACCCAAGGCCCTCAGGCGGCCTGCAGGAGATTAAGCTCCTGACACTTACCAGTCCTGGGTTCCGGAAGTTTCCTACCAGGCAGTGGTGCCAATGAGTAAAAGGGGCAGCCACAGGCATACACAACTACCTCATCTGTTTCCTACACTCACTCACAAAAGTCAGAGAAAGAAACAGCAAGTCTATAGACCCAGAAACTCTCTTATGCTTGTGGATTTCTTCTCAGTATGATTTCATTATTATAAGGCAGATGTTTCATTGCCAGGGTAACCAGGAGGGATTAGGCACAGAGCAGCCTCCACCTCGACCTTAACTCTATTTTGTTAAACTCCCACTGGGTTCTGAGCTCACTTCACATTTGTGGTTGCAAGAATGTAAACATTCTTCAATTCTGCTGGTTTTTTGTTTTTTTTTTCTTGTTTTGTCTCTCTTTATAAGGTTTGGCTAATATATATAGTTTCTCTGGCAATTTACTAGCTTAACTCATTTTATTTTTACCAGCTAACCTTGATCTCTTTCACTGCTCCTGTACTGTCTTGTGATCAATATTGCTCACTCAAAGTAGATGAATATATCTTTTCAATGTATTAAAAACTAACCAGAACGTCAGAAGTGGAAATTTCCAGTTGAGAGAATGCTGGAGGGAACATACTGAACTATGTTTGTTTTTTCCTCCTTGATTTGCATTTTTCCGCTTCATTTTCCTCTTCCAGCTCCATAGCGGCACACTCACTCACATTTCTGAACTGCGCTGGAGGAGCAGCTCTCTGTGCCACAGCCTGTTTGGGTGGGACGTGAGTTAATTCTCCCTCTCCCTGGTGAAGCTCAGAGGTCTCAGCACAACGGGCAGAGAATTAGACTCCTCAGTCAGAATAAAACTCACATAGCCTCCAATTCCCTCTCATCCCTTCTCTTGTCCCAGTTAAAATATCTGTGAATTAGACTCCACGTCTAGAATTACGTCCCTAACAAAGTTGTTTTCTGGGGAGCTGAGCTTCAGCAGTCTAAACGCTCTAGCCTTGCCCAGCACGTGGCCCTTAACTGTTGAAAGGAATTAAATCTAATTAAATAGAATCAAACCAAATTGAACTGCTAGACTATAAACTAGCCTTGCAAATAAGGGCCACAGGCCCCTTAAATGCAGCCCAGCTGAAGCCACAGTGCCTAAGAGGAGGTGGGCACAGCGCTAGGACCCGTTCTGGTGGTCTGGAGGGTTTCTCAGCTTATTGCTCTGTGGGTCCAGTCTGGTTTCTCACAGTCACTGCCTGTGGTAAACGACTAGCTTTGAATCAAGTCGAGTGTGAGCTCAGCTTGGGTGTGAATGAGCATAAACAGCAGGCAGAGGGGAGAGAGTAGGGAGGGAGGCTCCTCCTACAGTCAGTGAAGAAAAAATGTAACTATCAGAAACATGATGGGTTGTAATTAGTATTTTGGTGGTGAACATGATGTAGTCCATGCAGAAATAGAAGTACAATGATGTACACCTGAAATTTTTGCAATGTTATAAACCAATGTTACTGCAATAAACAAATAAGTACATTGTTGGCAAAAAAAAAAAAAAAACATGAGAGAATTAATGATATGAAATGAGCTGTGTAACTCATGGTCTGCCCTCTCTGGATAGGTCCTCCCCTTGAAAGTAGAGAGGTGCATGCGGGCAACCTCAGGGTGCAGCCTGCACCTGGGACGGGAAGGAGGGAAGGGAAGGAGGAAAGTCAATGGCTGTGCTAGGTTTTGCAAGTAGTTTTCACGACAAATCTGGGACTTAGCTGTTATTCCCATTTTACAGAAGGGAAACTGAGGCCCAGAAGGGTTAAGTATATAATGGAAAGGACGTCACCTTTAGGGGCAGACAGAACTGGGTTCTAATGTCACAGGCACCATCCCCTACAACCTGCGTGACTTTGGGTAACCTCTTACCCTCCTGGACCCCCCAAATTCCCCATCTGTGAGTGGGAGATATTAATGCCTACCTCACAGAGTTGTTGTGAGGATGAAACATAATGAAAGTAAATGATGCACAGAAAACAAGACCCAACCCATTGGAGGTAGGTTTTTATTGAATGTGACTCCTCTTGCTCCTTGCCCAAAGTCAAGCAGCTAGCAGGCCACAGGTCACAAACCCAGGTCACCTGTCCTCCTGGAGGGTGAGGGGGGACCCTGCTTTAGGGCAGGATTCCTGTGCTTCCTCGGGTCTCCCAGTCCCTACCCAGGAATCAGCATCTGGAAGGAGTTTCCCACGCCTGGGGAGGAGACAGGGAGGGGGTTCTCCACGCTCCTAGACAGCTCCCCTCCCTCCCAGTGCCCCTCCCCAAACCGTGCCTCACTGACCCAGCCTGGTGACCCCTCTGCTGCACTCACTTTCAGGTGACACACGCTTAGCATCCAGAGAAGGGCCAGTTCTGTCGTATGGCACTCACAGAAGCCCCAACTCAGACCTCAGCCCTGATGGGTCTCGCCACTTCAGCCTCTATTTTAATACTCACCTTGTCCCCCCTGCTGACGCAGATCCCACCACCTTTCACGCAGAGGCAAAATGTTTGTGGCCTCCTCTGTGAAGCCTTCCATCACACTGTTAGCTGCAAATAACTCTGCCTTGTACTGCTCACTTGCTATTGGCCCTCTTATAGCATTTGTCACCTCCTGCTCTGCATCCCAGTAGTTTGGGTGTGCCTCCTCCAGGGGACTTCCATGCCACTCCCCAGGAAGGAAGGCCCCTTCTCTCCTTTTCTCTTCAGGGGTTTCTCTCCTGCCTCCTCCTCCCCCAGGTAGACCCTGCCACTCGGGGAAAGGTCAGCAAGGGACCTCCAGTTTGCACCTGACCACCTGGATCAGGTGAGAAAGGAGGAGAAAGTCATTTGGCCTGCACTTTCTCAAATCCCGCTTTGCCAACGATAAAGCCGATCCTTGTAGCCCTGGGTCAATTTCTCAATTGGTTGAAATCCAGAGGGAAGAGGAGTGTGATTTCCACTCAGACCTCAGCAGCAGACTGGGAGCCCCTGAGGGCAGAAACTATTTCTTTCTTATTTTTAGTAAATAAAAAATTTACCTAATACTTAATACATATAACAGAAAAATGCAGCATATCTGTAAGTTATAAAGCACAACAATAAACACTCTAAGAACTAATCCAATCCATCTCCTCCCATCTACCCCTGTCTCTTCACAAAAGGTAACCACTCTCCTGTATTTTGAGCTTAATATTGCCCTCAATTCTTTATTTTCAGTTTTAGCAAATATGTATGCATTTCTGAGCCATATATACTTTAATCGTGTTGGGTATTTTGGGGTGCGGTTCTATGTAAATAATATCAAGCTGAATTTAATCTTCAGCGGTTATGAGATACACAATTTAAAGATGGACGTGCACCTACCCCACAACTCAGCAATTCCCTTCCTAGGTATAGACCCTAGTGCAGTGGTTCTCAAACTTTTTGGTTTCAGGACTCTTTTTTTTTTTTGGTGAGGAAGATCAGCCTTGAGCTAACATCTGTGCTAATCCTCCTCT